CCGGGATCGTTGGGATCCACCGGGATATTCCAACAACACTGGGATATTCCAACAACACCGGGATCGTCCAACAACACCGGGATCGTTGGGATCCACCGGGATCATCCGGACACACCGGGATCGTCCAACAACACCGGGATCGTCCAGATCCACTGGGATTGTCCGAATCCACCGGGATTGTCCGGACACACCGAGATTGTCCAGATCCACCAGGATCATCCGAACCACCGGGATCTTCCAGCAACCCCGGCAGGCTCCGGATCCACCAGGATCGTTCAGACACACCAGGATCGTCCAGACATACCGGGATTGTCTGGATCCACCGGAATTGTCCAGATCCACCAGGATCATCCAACAACCCCAGGAGGCTCCAGATCCACCGGGATTGTCCAGATCCACCAGGATCGTCCGGATTCACCAGGATTGTCCAACAACACCGGGATCGTCCAGACACACTGGGATCATCCAACACCACTGGGATCATCCAAACCCACTGGGAGCCTCCGGATCCCAACGGGATCGTCCGAACCCACTGGGATCTTCCAACATCCCTGGGATCATCCAAATCCCATCCCACCAGGATCATCCAGCACCGCCATCATCATTCAACAGCTCCAGGATCATCCAAATCCTACTGGGATCCTCCAAGTCCCCAAGGACCCCTCAAACCCATCCGGGATTGTCCAAAAGCCCCCAAGATCCCTCAGTCCCCCAGAACCATCCAATTCTCTCCAATCCTGAGAATCATCCAATGACCCCAGGACCCTCCAGAACCCCCAGGATCCTCCAAACCCCCCAGGATTTTCCAAACCCCCCAGGATCTTCCAAACCCCCCAGGATTCTCCAGAATCTGAGGATCCTCCAAACCCTCCAGGATCCTCCAGCCCCAGGATCCCTGAGCGACCCCTCACCACTATTCACCCCCAATGCTGCCTCCCAAAAAGGTTGCAGATCATCCCAATGGACCCTCCCAAAAATGTGTTCCCCCCACAGGGGACCCAGCCCCACATCCCCTCTTCCAGGCCTTCCTTGGGATCTCTGCACTGTCCCAAAGCTGCTCCCTGCAGCTCTGTCCCCACGAGCCCACGGGCAGGAGACAGTGGCAGATGACTCCATCCTTGTAGGGATGGGGAAACATCCTGGGAGGAGCAGAGGGAAATGCTTTGCCACCAGAATTCCTGGGGACGCCAATGTCCCCTGATCCAGAGGGGACAACCTGCCTGGAGACACCAGGCCCTGCTTCTCATCACGCTCCAGAATTTCAACCCCGTTGAAAATTCCTGGGCAATTCCATCCCTGTAGAAAATTCCTGGGAATTCCATCCCTGTGGAAAGCCCCTGGACCTGCACAAGGCATCAGCAATGAGAAGCTGTTTGCTGAAGTAAAAATGCCAAAAGCCCAAAAGAAAAGGAGATGTTTTCCCTAAGGATTGGGATGAGGGGTGTGAGGAGCAGCTGGCTGGTGCTGAGCACGGCCAGATCTGAGCCTTTCCAGCAGCAAATCCCACATTTCTGTGCCACGTTTGTGAGCAAGCCCTGCCTCGCCGCTCTCCCGGGGCTCCCACGGCATTCCTGGGCGCTCTGTCCCTCCTCACCTCCTCTCAGAGCCTGGAGAAGCACGAGCAGCTTGGGCTTCACCATCCCCTGGGACTGAAAATACTGGGAAAAAACCCACTGGGCTTTTGCAGAGAGCTGGGGGGGGTTGCAGGACCTGGGGAGGTTTGCAGGAGGTGGAGAATTTGCAGGAACTGGGGGGTTTGCAGGGCCTGGGGGGTTTGCAGGAGTTTGGGGGGGTTTACAGGAGCTGGGGGGAATTTTCAGGACCCGGGGAGGGTTTTGTAGGACCTGGGGCAGGGGGAATTGCAGGACCTGGTTGGTTTGCAGGACCTGGGGAGGTTTCAGGACCTGAGGGGAGTTGTAGAACCTGGGGGGTTTTGCAGGGGGGTTTGCAGGACCTGGGTGGGGATTTCAGGACCTGGGGGGGGATTTGCAGGAGCTGGAGGAGTTTGCAGGAGCTGGGGAGGGTTTTCAGGACCTGGGGGGTTTGCAGGAGCTTGGGGTGGTTTTGCAGGACCTGGGGAGGGTTTTGCAGGACCTGGGGAGGGTTTTCAGGACCTGGGGAGGGTTTTCAGGAGCCGGGGGATTTTCCAGGGCCTGGGGAGGGTTTTCAGGAGCTGGGGAGGGTTTTGCAGGAGCTTGGGGTGGTTTTGCAGGACCTGGGGAGGATTTTCAGGAGCTTGGGGGGTTTGCAGGAGCTTGGTGGGGTTTTGCAGGACCTGGGGAGGGTTTGCAGGAGCTTGGTGGGGTTTTGCAGGAGCTTGGGGGGTTTTCCAGGGTCTGGGGAGGGTTTTCAGGAGCCGGGGGGTTTTGCAGGACCTGGGGAGGGTTTTCAGGAGCTTGGGGTGGTTTTGCAAGACCTGGGGAGGATTTTCAGGAGCCGGGGGGTTTTGCAGGACCTGGGGGGATTTCAGGGCCCGGGGTTTTTGCAGGAGTTGGGGGGTTTTTGGTCTCTCCTGGCTGCTGGAGGGCTCTGGGATGGAGAGCTCCTGTTTAGACTGCGCTCACTGGCTTGAGGAATATGTGGCGTCCCCGGAATGCAGCGGCTCTGTTTTTCCAGGTTTGGCAAAGCCACGGGAGGGAGAGGAATGAATCACAGCCGGCTTTGGTGGGGAGCGGGCACGGAACCCCCCGAGCCTCGCAAGGGGCTGCCTGCCCTTCCCAGCCCCCAGCAGCCCCCAGCGCCAAGGAGGCTCCCAAATCCATCCCAAGGGATGCAAACAAACCTCGGCCGTGACTTTTGGATTTCTCAGCTCCTAACCCTGGACCGTTTCTGAAGCCACGCCTCGTACAGGTATTTGCAAAAAAAACCCCTCCGTGTTCAGCTTGTACCAAAAAGGATGGAGACAACGCGCTCGCCTTCAACAGGGGTGGGGAAAAATCAGCCCAGAAAAGCATAAAAATGGACAAAACCAATAATGCTGCGGGCAGATTGCTGCTGGCTCAAAGAGATCTAAACAGAGATTTTAAAAACCCAAAAACATTGAAAAAAAAAATTTAAAAACGCCCAAAACCCCACAACGCTCCTCAAAAAAAACCCAATTAAAAATCCACTCTGAAAAGGCCTCCCCCAACTCTAATAAAGCTTTGCCTTAATTACATTATAAATTTCTCCCTCGTTACAGCAAACTTGGATTTTTATTATGCTGATTGCACAGAGCTGGGCTAATTAGTGTGCACTGATTAAATTTCCCTCTATAAAGGCAGAAATCCACAACCACGTAATCAGATTAATTCGCCTGCATCTCTTTTTTATGCGCGTTGATATTGAATATTGATAAAGACAGATTGGCCCACGAATTAAAGCAAAAATTTCTCGATACTGGAAGATCCTGAATTAGCCCCAGTCCCCTCAAATTTCGCAGGAAAATACCAATATTTAAATGCAGATTTATCACTGCCTTGTGCACAACGGAGATGGTGCAGCTGATCCGCTTAATTTTTATTCCTGCTTATTCATTCCTAATAATTTGCGTTAATTTGGGTAAATTTCCTTCAATTTTATGAATTTTTATTTCTTTTTTCACACGGGAAAAAATCCGCGGGAAGTTTCCTGCCGGCTCAGAAAATTCCCAGGATGGAGGAAGGGGAAAAAAAGGAGCTGGAAAATTCCCGGGATGGAGGAAGAATAAAAAGGAGCCGCGGTCTCCATCCCGGCAGCCTCACGCCTGGAATTCGAGGGAGAGGCAGAGAGCTGTCAAACCCAGCCTTTAACCCTGGGGGAGGAAAAAATGGAATAATCCTAATGATAAAAAGCTAAAAATAAAAAGCATCGCCGCTTTTCCTCCTTCTGCGTTTCAATATCCTCAATTGAAATATTTCCCGGCAGGGAAATTGGCAACCAGGACTCCGCCAAGGTGAAAAAACCCTAAAAAGTTGGTTTTGAGTCTGTGCCGGGACGGGGAATTATTGCCCGAGGGTTTGCAGGGCCGGACTCCTCATTAATTAAGCTTAATTACACCGCATGCTCGTTTATTTGCTGCTCATACAATCGTGAAGCCCATGTACAAATAACATACAGGTTTTATTTCGGGATTTTTTTTTCTTTAGGGACAAAACGTACACAAAAAAAAATAGGCAAAAAAGTCAAAAAAACAAACCCACATAATTACAATTTTATACAGTGCAGAAAGAATTAAAATAGGTGTCACCGAACTGTACAACGTCAGGGTGGAAAAAAAAATAGAGAGGGGAGGGAGGGGAATAATCCTTCATTATATATATATTTCTATAAAAACATATGGAGGATTGTCTTTACACAGAGACCACAGTCGCTTGCAAATTTACAAAGGTTAACTAAAAAAACCCCAAATCTATATGGCAAATATTGCCAACAGAGATTCCCCGATTTAATACTGATCAACTGAGACTATTCGTGTCTCCATTATTAGCAACAACAACAACAACGAAAAAAAAAAGAATTGTAGAATAAATAACAGGATGAGCATGGCTGACTCTTTCCAAAGTGCCTTGTTCTCTCTGCATAGGGTCTGATCCTGCAGTCTTTATGCAGGCAAAAAAAAAAGGCAAAATTAATAGTTCCTAAAAATCCCTCTGAGAGATTTTTT